CAGCTCCACAGTATGGAGGGAAGGAATTGGAAAGTGGGAAACTACACATGGTAAGTTCAATAAATGCCCCACGCAGGTGTGGAGATGCAGGAGCAATAGGTGGTGCAGCAGTGGAGGGACCACAGACTACCTGCATATGATTATCACTGTGATCATCTAACACAGAGTAACCTCCGTCTGACAGAAGGCTGAAGGTTCTGGAATCGCAAAAGCTCCACCATTAAGGCCCTACATCAATGGAAGACTGGGCTGGTTTTTTATTATAATGGTATTCTATGATTAGCCACATGGAGCGTGTAGCCTAACTTCTCTGACCCATATGTTGTGCTTGGTTAGCAATTAAAAGCTCGCTCCAGTTCCAGGTGTACTTTACTTTGAAAAGTTATTAATGACTATCCACCGGATGGTAAGAATTGCAAAGGTCAACTGAGACAGGTGGTTCTGTAAGGAAATCATGTCTAAGTTTTCATCTTTTAGGACAAAACACTGGTGCAAGGGAAGATAAAGGACAGCATTAAAAAAATAAAAAATAAAACACAAACTGGCTAACAGCAATTTTTTTTAGCTGTAGTAGTTTCTGACAAAATATATATATGTGCATATATATCTGTTGTACATTTGTGTGTTTGAAAAATATTATTTAATGATTAAATAAATACAAAGGCTATACTCCACAATCAAATAGATTTAAAACACAAACTACAAATGATTCATTTGTTATTGTAGGGTTGATTTCATTTTTCATTTTGGCACTGCAGTCACTGCAGTGTTTGAAAAACTTAAGCCAAGTAGATCTTTGTTTTCATGCTATTTAACAGTTTATCAGGGACACGTCAGGCTCAACACACTTATGTTCTAAACCAGTGATTTCAGTGTGGGTTAAAATAAACATGACAACAACTCTGCATTGTACAGTTTGGTTTGTTGTAAATCCATCACAGCCTCGCGCCATACATGGACCTTTAGACAAATCTGGACTGTGACAGGCAGGAGAGCGACAGCATTTTCTTTGATGCCACATTCAAACCTCTAAGATGGGATTCTGCCAAGATACAGTAACCAGGCAGCCAATAAGAAAACACTTGAACAGTGTTATGATAAATAAATCAAGAGCAAATGTAATCGTCAAAAATGTTATTATTTTGAACCTTGGCTTGGCGTTGCACCGACATACCGGATGTCATACTGCGGTGAATAGCAGTTAAACCTTTTAGTTTTTGACAGTTTGGCTCCGGATATAAAATTCCAACTTTTTACTAACTGATGTATTGATGTAAGATTTATTTTTAAATAAAAGGACAATTATAACAGTGGACAGTCTCATGAATCCATTCTCAAAATACATTCAAAATATGTCAATCAAACACCTCCACTGATGACATCACAGTCTTGTCCTGCTTTGTTGTTCGTCACAACTGTATGATTATAAAAAATGAAATAAACACTTGTTAAAAGCAGTCCAATCACAGCCAGCTTCAACCTTCCTCTACACCAACACTAGATAAATCCACTTTAGAACCTGTGGATTTTATTCTTAAGTGCATCAACGTTTTGCAGTAAGAACTAAAGGGGAACGTGAGAACAGCCATGGCTGTTGTTTTTTCAGCTATTTAAAAAAAAAAAGACAGATGATGTGGATTTTGCTCTGTAACTGTAGGAAGGAAAGTCTTTCTTTTGAAATCCCTGTTGTTTTAATCTCTCCACTGTGTCATGCTTGACTTTACTCTTCCTCCTATCTCAGAAGCTCTGTTTGTTTAATCTTTTTGGTTTTTTCCATATTTGTTCTGCCAGGAATAACCAGAGATTTTTTAATAACGCCGAGGTTTTTCTTTATGTTCATTAGGAGGATGTGTCACTTGACAACAGAATTACTCACAAACTCCTCAGCAAGCCAATTTAGCTCAGTTCTGGAACCTTGAATCAGCCCTGTGTTTGAAGCCTTGACTCATCACGGGGATTTTCAACAGCGCACTAACATTTACAGGGGAAACTTTCTTTATTTTCCCTTTTATTTTCAATATAAATTCACCAATTATTAACATCTTAATTGCACATGTGATGCTATGAGGTGACGGTCAAACACTTTGATGTTTGGGACTTTAATTAAAATGAATTAAAATGTCCAGTCTTGTGTATAGTGGTGTGGGAAAAGCTACAGTGGTGTCAGAAACAGTAACAAGTGACTTTGATACTGTGGGATAGATTTATGGTTTTACAGATTCTGTTCCATTGAGGGCACTCCAGGATCCTTTGTTTGTGGAATTTAACTATAACTATTTTCTTCTTCTGAACACACATAGTGGGGATAGTGATTATTAGCTCGTGTTAGGTGAGTTCTTAGCTTAGCCTTAGCTTGTCAGAATAATCTGATGAGAGATACATTCAAGTTCAGAAGTAACAGTAGTTTGTCATATTAAAGCCATTTAATATAACTACAGCATCGAGGACTCATACCATCAGTGACCCTTCAGGTAGAAAGTGATGATGACACTGGTACACGCTGGATGACAAGCAAGGGCACCGATAAAGTTTCCTGATCTCCCTGACTTTTCCCCGTCTCCCAAATCCCCAGAGTAAGACAATCATCTTCAGCTCACACTCACCCACATGATCCTGTTTCCCACAGTGTAGCAAAACTACTGGTGTTTCATTTTTCATCCTTCCGCTGCACATCTCTGATCCCGACGAGCTGTAAGAGAAAGAGCAGCAACAGAGGAGGCAGTGAGCTTTGACTTTTGTCTCAAAGTTAAGCTAGGTCACTCGGAGATAGATTTCTCACTGGACATTTAATTCAAAGAATGTTTTTATACTGGAGGAGTGCCCAGAGAAAACACGCATCATCTACAGAAAAAGACCAGGAATTGAACCAGCAAATCTGTCTTCTTGCTGTCAGGTAAGAGGCCAATAAAAATGATTGGATGTATATATATGGTGTTTTTCCAGTGGAAAAAAAGACAGAACGCAGCAGTAGTCAAATTCAAGGACAATACTGCAGTGAAACCCAAGTGCAAAGACAAATCCTCAGGAGGAGATTGGTCGTTATGAAGAAGTAACATATTGTTATTAGTGTGTCAGAGGATTAGTTAGCTAGCTGTGAATGAATAAGTGGTATATCAACATTCGAAAAAATTAAAAAAACTTGTATGTATTGCTGGAACAGAAAAAAGCACCAGGTAGACATGAAGAATGGGGCTGAAGTCTCTAAAAACAAATCATCAAATGTCCTTATTTTAACTGCATTCATCTATCTTCTTCGGGGGTCTCTATCTTCTCTAAATATCATGGCAACACTATCTTCCGCACCATTTTTCCAGCCCGTCTCCTAAGCGTCAGTTCAAACCTCGCACCTTCCTCACTGTCGTTACATATTCACAGCTCCGTTTTAGCTGTTCCTCTGATCCGCTCGTTTCTTCTCACTCCCTCCGAACCGTATATCACAGCAGTTCCCTTCACCATCTTGTAAACACTCTTTTTCACTCTTGCTGCTGTGCCGGTGTCACACCTCAGCCCTAACACTTGTCTGCTGTTACTCTTCTCTGCTTGAATCCTGTTTTCCACCTTCCGTGTGCGTCCGTTAGCCTCAGGTAATCCATCTTTCTCCTACCGCTGTATCGATAGCTTAATTATAAACATTTGTTTTTACTAATTTGGTGAATTGACTGTCAGTTAAAATTCAACACAGTCTTTCCCTGTGGAGTTCACTTCGCGTCCTTTGCTCAAAGTTAAACAGAGTGACTAATAAACATCATTTTCACCTTGATATTTTCTGCTTGTTCCCGTCAACTAAAGGTCCAGTTTTTAAACAGTCCATTTATTTTGCGTGTGTCCAGGGCTGAAGGACACTACGGTCCCTCCCATCTTGAGGCTCATTTCCATCATAAGTGAAATCAAAGTTATGAGACGACGGAGGAGTGGAGTCTGTTGATTCATTTACAAATTTTAACTGTGCAAATGTTTGGGCCTGGTCAGAGTGGGGGACGAGGACAAAGACACAGCCTGCAGTGTGTTCCTGTCATTCTGCAGTTTCTTGACCTTAGTTGGAGAATAACAGCTGACGACGGGAGATCTGTGGAAACTCTTTATGTAAGATTTATCTCTGGGCCATTAGTCACTCTGAGGCAAAGGAGCAGAGGAAGATGATGTACTTTTCTCTGCCCATCATAAAAGAATCAAAATGATCAGCACTGAACATGGAGAAACAGCATTGGTCTTAAACTACTACTAACCAACAAATACATGAATAAATTAGCTGTGGTTACATTTTCAGAAACTGTGACTATTGTGTTAAATTCCCCTGATCCTGCAGCGCTGCTGCTGCTGCTGCTGAACACACTGTGTCTGCATCATACTGGATAATTACTTTAGTTTCCCTGTGGTGCTGTGTGTACATTACAGATTAGCTCAGAAAGTATGTAGCAGTCTGAGGTGGAGACGTCCTCTGAACACCACCTACTGTGGAGTAAATCTTATAGTGATTGTTTTATGGCCAGCAGGTGGCGGGACAAAAACCCCTTCATGTCCTATGAGCAGATTGATGGAACAATTTCTGTCAGTAATTTTACGATAGACCTGCAATTTGTCCACTAAAGGCAAATTCTCCTTAGGATAGTAATCATTTTTTAGTTGTTTTGTCCAGAAGTAAAATAAATTAGGGAACTCATTAAATGATAACCACCAGCCAGCAGTTTCATGGGCCTTTCTTAAGTCCAGAACGTAGAACAACAGAGACTGAAGGACCACACAAGGACACGACAGAACACACAGAAATCCCTCTGCAAACTGTCCATTTGTTATGTCCTTCATGTCCATGTTTACATTGTATTCAAATACTGTATGATGGACAAGATCAGGTGCAAGATTCTCACTATCACCACGTCTTTTTAAATCACATACTTTCAACAACATCTCCGAAAGGAATTATTACATATAAGTACACTTGTAGTAGTTCTACAAGAGATATTATGTCTTCCCAAATATCAAATACAACAATGCAGTGTTGCCCAGATTCAGCCCCAGCGATAGATCATTTCGAGGAGGTAAATCTAATCTCGTTTCACCCTGACACCTGTAATGACTGCAGCTTTTACGAACATCTACTTTGTCTGAACGTAAGGACTGAATTGAGTCTGCAGACACGAGTAACAGTGATGAATGACATCATTTCAAAAGCCAAGAGCCGAGGTACGTGGATCAGAGCCGACCTGGTTTACTCTGACAGCTCAACTAGGACTAACAACATTCGTGTACAAAAGCACTGCGTTTCAATTCTATTACTGAATTAACTTGCTATCTTCAGTTGTAAAGGTCTTGCAGGGGAAGTGAGAACAAAAATACTACCCTGAAAATCATGATAGTACACGCTGCTCCTCTAAATGGTGTCGAGCAAAAGCAGCAGGGACCACGTGTCACGGCGTATCTTTGACAGTCGGAGCAGCAGATCTCCTGGTATTTCCTTATGTATAATTCAGTTTAAAATAAAGAAAGACAGAAAGAAAAAGTGCTGGTCTCCTGACACATGGTGCTCCAGAAATACCAGCAGGTGCTAACTAGCTGAGGTTTTGTAGCAGGTGTCCTGTCACCTTCCCCATTATGCATGCATCATACCTGTGGGTGGAGGTGGTAATTAAGTGTTGCTTTGTCATTTTTAGCACGTTGCCATGACAGCCCCTCTCTGTGTCTCTGTTTCTCACCTTTACTTTTCTCAATTACTGTCACCTACTTTCGGAGCATCTTTCTCCTCTTTTGTCCCTGGAGCTGTGCATTAGGCAGTATTCTCTTCTTTAGATGTTTTCATTTCCTATCATTAGCATTTCACAGTATCCATATGGAATTTTTTTTTTACTCCACAGTTCGTGTGTGTGTGTGTGTGTGTGTGTGTGTGTGTGTGTGTGTGTAGTGCAGAGGGCGTTCCTGACAAGTGGACAGTTTCATCCATCATTATCAGATGTGGACACTCGGTCCAGTAGGCTGTGGTCTCCGTCGTCATCCATCTGCACAGTGACTCTCCCAAGAACACATTTACTGTCGACCTGTTCAGGTGTTCGGTGTTTTTATTTTGCCAGACAAATCAGTTTGATTACTGTCCTTGTTTGTTAACCTTGCCATGTGTCAGGACAGACTGTTCTTTGTGTCAGTGTTTACAGTCTCACACTGGGACAAGGTTTAATTATCTTTCATATTTTACTTTACAATTTAATAAACTGTAAAACAATTTAGACATTTTTTAAATTATTTAATTTTAAGCTATAAGTTTTTTTCCTAGAATGTATTATTTCATCCTCAACTGTTAAAAATAAATGGTGTTTCATTAGGAATGTGCCCACTACAACTGTATTCAACACTTGCTTTTCATTGATATGTAAATTGCCAAAAATCTAATTAGGTCAGAATGAGAATAATGAAATCAAAGGGTAAATCATTTGGACCTGTGAATTGGTTTTGGGAGGAGGGGAGAGAACGACACCTGAGGGATCGTGTTATCGTTGATGTGCGACTAAATAAAAGCAACCGTGTCTTTAATCTGCGCTGGCCAACTTTATTGTTTATTTTCCGATCTTATTTAACACTAACATGCTAAAATAACTTCCTGTTGCACAGTCACAGCCTTATCACTGACTGTGTAACTGCTCGGTGAGCTGTTGGGAAACAGGATTAAACAACACACAGTAGAACTGTTGTCTGTTTACCTCCCATTCCACAACAGAAACATTCACGTGTGTCAGTCTGGTGTTTATGGCTCCATGTTTCAAGTTTGACTTCAAGTCTCCTAAGCTGCTCCAAGATTATTGATCTTTTGCTAAAGGTTAATTACACTAGGTTGACTTGGATCTTTTTGGTAAAAAAGGGAAATTAGCACTTATAAATAAATTGGCCACTGAAGTTGTGGCCATTGGTTCTTACACTAAAAACGGGCAAATTATGAACTCAACAAAAATGCATCAAAATGATAACACGTTAAATGTTTTGGTTTATTATTTTTACTGAGTCTACCTTTTAAATGTTGCAACATTAGTTTTATGTTCTAGGTTAGGAATTCTCATGGTGTGGTGCAGGGGTGTGCGTGCTACCACTAGGGGGTTAACAAATGACTGCTTATTAAGTGGGATTTTTCCACATGATAAAGATGTGCAACTAAACATTTCATCTATAAAAATTTAAATCAAAAGCTCACATTAAAGTTTCCCGATGCATATATCTGCAATCATCAACCCCATGTTGGCCATACCACTAAACTTTTTATTTAAAATATAATAATACTATAAACAAGGAATAATACCTAAAACAAGCTGACATGTGGGCTCACTAAACACATCACCACTGTCACAGGTACTGGAAACTAAAAATATCAGTGGTGTTTTCTGCCCAATTGATGACAGATTTTCCTACATTAGTCACATACTAAGACATTTCAGCTTTGACAGGAAAGTAGCTTAAGTACAGCTGCAACCATAGAATGCATGCACCTGGTGCAGTCACAGACTTTGTTTATCAAATGATTTATTCGACGTTAACGGTTCAAACCTCAGTGTAATAATGTTGGGCCCCGTCGTTGTGACACGTCGTTCTCAACAGTACCACAAATCAGTCACATAACAACAAGGAGACACGTCCCGCCTCAGAGTTTGTTGAACAAATCCAGAGCTGCATCGACACTCGGAGCATCAGTTCAAATTATTATGCCACGCTGCAATTGTTAATATGGCTTCCACAGAATGTGATGCGAATTCTGTTATTACTGTCCTCCTGGCTGCCCTGTTGTTCAGCTGTCAGACCAAAGTGCAAATTCTATCAGCAGGGATTTATTCAGTTCAGTTTTCTACTGTCTGAAAAGTGTGGACCAATAAGTATAATGATTTTCTCCCTTTCACAGTGTCCGTGCACCATCCAATTAGGGCCGTGGAACACAAGGGAGGACGTAATGGGCAGACAGAGCAGTGGGCAGTATGAAAGGACAGGGATGAAGGTGGAAAAACAACGAAAGTGCAAAACCCAAAAAACAAAACGCTCTCTTTTAAACAGCACATATGTTGTGGCTTTGCTCGTGTGATCGATTGATTACTATTTCAATCAACTGAACAAAATGTCTGTTAGGGCTAAAACAGTAAATAAGAAAAGGGAAAACACAGAAAACCAATGGATATTACTGCACGTTACTGAAAAAGAAAGACACCAGGTAGATATACGTGTTTGACACCAGTGTATATTTCTGATTTATCCAAATAATGGCGATCTTAACAGTGAGTGATTTCCGTAAAATGTGAAAAACAACTGTGAATATATATATATATATATATGTATATATATATATAAGCAGTACGTGGTTCTTTTCCCAGGTGGGGTATAACAAACGAGAGGGAATTTGGTTGAAGTGATGACAGCATGACTGCACTTTTATTTTCTCTTTTTGAGCTGAGTGTTATTTGATGTCATTGATTTAGATTCATCATAACTAAAATTACTTGTTGTGTTTTCAATACATTTAAAATGTAATTTGTCCAGATTTTTGTTGAGGCGATGGGGGGGAGGGGGGCAGGGGGAGCTTGAAATAAACATTAAAACAAAAGTAAATTACAGTGTCAGAAGAAATGGTTTTCAAAAGCAGGTAACATACGCAGGCTGTGTTTGACGAGAGAGAACCAAACTATTAGAGATAGGCAACTAATTCAACTTCTTGGAAGGGTAAAACTGACACAGCTGTATCTTTATCCACATCTTGGGTGAACTGTTACAACCTTATCGTTAATATAAAACGCTATCCCATCAGCACTTTCCACATAAGCAAATAATACTGCCCTAGAATATGCACCTCTGAACAGAAACAGACATGGATTTAACATTGATCCATGAGCCGGTGGTTTTACTGACGTTATAGTTGGATGAAACTAGCACTCACAGTCTGTCAGTCATTCAACTAAAGTCCAGGCCTGTTTGCAAACAAGTACTGTTGAAACCACACTGTAGCCACTCTGCAGTGGACTGTGTATCCAAGACATATCAAATGCAGACAGCTGTGACATCTATCAGTGAACACTAAAGCTGATTGCCTATAATTAGGACCTTGATTAAGATGCAGCCTCTGATTTAAGAGGAAGCTCTGATGAGCCCTGATGAGACAGACACACTTTCTATACAGTAAACCCTTGTTTTCGCGGGGGTTACGTTCCAAAAAGAACCCGTGATAGGCAAAATCCGTGAAGTAGAAATCTTTTTTTTTTTTACAATTAAATACTCAGAAAAAGAAGAGAAAGAACGAACAAACCATTTTACAGTCTCAACCATTTGTTTCACAAATAAAGTAAAATAAAAGTACTTTAGAAACGTTTCAACAAATAACTTCTGTAATGTACTGTCAAATAATAATTTTAATCATCAACGTGAACAGAAGGCTTCAAATTGCGGAGATTAGCACCGCCCACCGTGAACGGGAGAAAATTAAAAATGATTATGAAAAAAATACAAATTACCTGGTCTTGTTGCGGGCAGTTGCAACCCTTTTTGAATCCTTATTAAAACTTATTGCTGCTGTCTTCCTTATGTTTTTTTCTTCCTTCTTTATGGAACGAACGGAAGATTCATTAATTCCATAATGGCGACCTACAGCCGCATAGCTTTTACCTTCATTTAGCATGTCCAATAGTTTTACTTTATCACCGATAGACAGATTCCGCTGCCTTTTGGTCCCTACCGCAGGTACTTTTGCCGGTCCAGAGCGTTTTGTCGACATTATGGGGTCTGATAAACTCGAAATTGCAAGATAATTTGCACGTACGTAATGTCAATTTGGCAAGCTGTTTTACGTACGTGTACATATTAAACCGCAACGTTATTGGCGCACAGGTAGAGAAGAAGCGGAGTGACTTTTTAGCCAATCAGAACGCAGAACACAATGCACGATGCAAATCCGTGAAGTAGCGAAACCGTGAAAAGTAAACCGCGTTATAGCAAGGGATCACTTTACATTGTTGCAGTTTCCTCACCAATCTCAGTCCTCTTTGATTGTTCTTGCAACAGTTCCCTTTCTTGTCAAAATTAGTCCTCGGACGTGTATCTCACTGTAGCGCTGACCAAACATTAACATAACCCTACTGTCACCTTAAATAATCCATCTTTCATAACAGTGAAACATTGTTTTAATTTTACATAACCAATGAATTTTTTTTCACACAAATATTCAGCCCACTCCTTCAGCTCGCCATTTAAGCTCACACACACACACACACACACACACACAGTTCATGGTTTAAACCTACAACAGTCCTGAGCCAGAAGCACATCATATCAGAGAACTTTCCGTTTCCCCAAATACTCCATAAAGTATTCAAGCCAGATCATTTTGGAGTTGCCTGTTATGGCACTATAATTAGATTCTATGCTTGAAAGGCTTGCGGGGTGTTGATCATTGTTATTTCATGAGGCGTGCAGCGCTATTCATCTCATCCTTCCAGACAAAACCATTTTCTACTCGCAGACAAGCGAGCCCCTCAAGATATTCATAAACATGAAAATAATAACCTCTCATTGTCCATAAATCATCAGAGGCATATTTTAAGCTTACAGTCAGGTTTATAAATGGTTATTTGTTACGCAACTGCAGCATGTTTATTTCCTAAACCATAGTCATGGGCGTCATTCCATTTCTCCAGAAATTAAAAACTTGTAAAAAACTTTGTAAAAAAAAAAAAAAAAAATCTTTTTACAAAATCTAAGTTAAACAAATGTCCAGCCAGGATTTGTGGTGCATACATACACATAACATTTGCCATAAAAATGCACTGTCAAATGTAGTCTTTCAACTAGATATTTTACCGTGACATTTGTGGGAAGTAAATTAAGTAACAAGTTATTCAAATATACATTCCAACAAAGAACCTTTAGCCAATGTGACTAACATTGTTAGTTAGCACAAAAATGTACTATCCTTAGGGATAAAAAGGGAAATATGCTGTTTTTTGTACTTTGTAAACCCCCTCCCCCCCCACCCCCCTTCCTGCTTTGGTTTTAAACAGCAGTTCTGGACCCATTATGGTACCTTACTGTCACATGTGCATATTTACACCAAGATGTGTCACAATCCAAGGGTAACAAAGGGCACCTTCACTATATACAGTAATGTTTCCAATTTAAAACATTTCTCTAGGAATCTGTAGTATGTGGGCTTTTCTACATGGGTTTCCTCCCACAGTATTACAAAATTGCAGGTTTACTGTTACTAATTATAGTATGACTGTATGATTGTGTGTGATTGGTTGTTAGTCTCGGGTCCATAATGATGGACTGCTGATCTGAACCAGAGGGTGAACCTCCTCTTCACCTGATGACTCTACTGCCTCCAAGTTCCAATGTGACACTAAAACTAAATTAACGTTGTCACTAAGAAATATAAATGATGTGCTTTAGTTTTTATTAGCGTGACAGCACACTCCATTTCCTAAGGTAGTGTGTGTAATAGAAAATAACACAAAGAGGCTACGTTGCATATTGCAGTGAATTGTTCCCCACCTCAGCAGCACATTCAAGCATGCAGGAGAAAATACAGCATCGTTCAGTTCAAATTAAAGCATGAAAGCGATTTTAAAGTTTAACACAAAACTGAACTGAGGAACCACATTCCCTGTAGGAATACTTAAGGAAAAAAGAGAAACAGACCTGGAGGACCATGGAGGAACCAGATGACGCAGGACCAGAATCACATACTGGAACCCTAACGACAACAACAACAACAACAACAACAACAACAACAACAACAACATCCAACAGACAGTGAAGGAGAGAGGCACCAGGTGACATGAGTTTGACTGATCAACAGAGAGTCCCAGCACACAGGTGAGGTTGATGAACTCATTAACCCAGGAGAGAGACCGCATGCAGGAAAACAGACAGACCTGACAGTGGACTGATGTTTTCCAACCATCCATCCCACTATCATCAACCACTTTATCTGGAACCAAGGTGCAGGGGGAGGAAACACCCCCATAGTTCCCTTTACCCACTGACCGTGACTAACTCTGACTAGGAGACCCATTCACCCAAGGGCAGTGAGGAAATATAATCTCTTTACCTGGTCCTGGGTCTCCCCCCAGGGTCGCCCACATTCTTCAGAAGGCACCTTGGTGGCATCCTTGCCTGGAGCACCTCAGCCCACTCCTACACACATAGAAGAAGTGAGTCTTCTCCAGACACAGATTTAGGCTGAGGGTCTGAGTATGTAAGGGAGATACAGCTCTT